ATGTATTAGCATCCCTGCACTGAAAAATGGTGGTGGGGGCACTTTAACTAAAACTTATTTCACAAGCTTTCGTTAAAGCACTGCTGCCGCCATTTTTCAGTGTGGGGACGCTGATGCATGTGATGCTCTGGGCACTTTAAATAGAGTGGCTCTTGGAGCTGCTCTAATTAAAGCACCTCTGTCCTCCACTCCTAGAGCACGTGTATAAACACCCAATATTTTCACATTTTTAAAATTAAAGGACAGAAAGTAAATAGGGACCTAAAAAGAGATGCAGATTAGAGCCGTCACCAAATTTTTGAAACTCTGATGCCTAAACTTGGGTACCACTGACCTCTTCCAAACACCTAAATGACCCACTACTCAGAAGCACCAAGTGACCATTTGTCTCATTGATTTAAACTTTCACTATTATAGGTATGGAGAATGGAAAGGTGAGAGTGTCACAGGGATAGTTATTTGGGCAGCAGCCCTACTTCTTACTGCATCTGTTTAAGGGTCCATCAGGAAATATATCAAGAAATTCTACATCTATTGTATTAATACTATATGAGTGAAATTTAAGCAAAGGAAATGACAAATACTATTTGATTGGAGATGGCTCCTGTCTCCATATATATGGTACATTCCCTGCTGCTAAGATATTTTTTCCCATAAAGTAGCATGAAAATCTTTTTTATTTATGAAAGATTTTGATATGATTATATATTAAAAGTTACTGGAAAACAGAAGCAGTTTTGGTATGAAAAGAAACTAATTCATTCATAAAAGTGGGCATTTTTTTTTCAAAATGAAATTGGTGGAGAGTGGCTAATACTTCTAGGAGATAGTTTAGTTCACTTCTTGTTTGTAATATTTGTAATTGATTTTGGTGAGGAGAATGAATGTGAAATATTCAAGTCACTGATTATATCTACCATATAGATATAACAAATAATGGGGAACAAAAAGAATTTGGAAGATGTAGCTGACTGGGTTAGTAAATGGAAAGTACAGCTTAATGTAGATAAATGTAAAATTATATGTCTGGGGGCAACAACCCAAAATAGGGAGTATGTATTAAATGGAATAGTTATGCTGCATACCAACTAGGAAGAGGGATTTAGAGGTTATTGCAGAAAAATCCTCAAAGCAATTAGTCAAGTGTACAACTGCAATAAACCTCGCATAGTATGTATATGGTTGAATTTTGGTAATCATTTCAAAAAAAGGATCTGTTTGCACTTAAACATTCTGCATTGCAGGGTGATGTGGATGATTCCAGGATTTAAGAATATTTGTTTTGACAAAAGGCTAAAGAAGCAGTTTGTTCTTAATTCAGAAACGCAGGCTTTAATGGGATTGAGTAGAAGTCTAAGGAATTGTAGAAAGGGTTGATAAAATAGAGCAAGTGTTTTTTCTGGTAAACAGTTCAATAAACTGGTTACATAATCTAAACAATTTGGAAATTAAAAGGAAATTGGGAATTCAAACTTACCTATTTATCTTAAATAGTATTAATCACATGAAATGTGCTGCCAAAGAGGGCCACAGAAGCAAATGATGTTCAGGTGAATAAACTTAAGGCATAGATATACATTTAGGAAAGGCATGACTCTGCAGGAAATGGTGATCGAGCATTTCAGTCAGTTTTATATGAATTTAGGAAAGTTCATTTCACAAATTGGTAAGAAGAAGTAGCTGTTCCCTGGGATGGAACGTAATTCAAAGCAACTTAAGAAACACATATCAAAGTAGAACTGTTTAAAATGTGACATTTTAAATAACACTAAGTGATCATTGTGTGCTGAATATCGTTATGTCAAAATGTACCTTATTACTAAGAAGGAAAGGCATGGAAAATAGGGTTGTACGTAACTTCACCACGTGTTTCGTTTTGACTTATTTCGAGCTCAAAACAGTGAAATCAGAATGAAACAAAAGGCTTTGAAACAGCCTCAAAATGAAACGAGGGCACTCAAAACATTTCAAAATGTTCTGAGTTTCGAAGCTGGGCTTACTTGCAAGGAAACAGAAACTAAGGAGAGGGAGGGAAAAGAGTGGGGAAGGACTGCTCTGATATTGACTGTGTAGCTGGCCAGTGACTGTGATCCTTCCCTGAGGTCCCTTCCAATCCCAGTGCTCTGGGGACGGGACAGAAAAACAGCTGTGCCTTAATACCCCCCCAAGTTTTGCTTTCAAGACTTTGAGGTACAGTTTCCCAGAAACCCCTGCACCTATCTCCATGAAACTTGGCAGGCATCATGCCCTCAGAAGGGGCTACTATCCCTGCAAGTTTCATCCAAATCGGGCACAAAATGACAAAGTTATAGGTAGTTTCATGCTTCCCCATTATAGCCTATGGGTGAAACGTAGAATCAGCATTGAAACAGCATCAAAACAGCAGAACAGTTTTGATGAAATGAAATGGAACAGCAGTTTTGAAATGAAATGAAACTCCAAGGGAACACTGTCCCATTGAAACAGCAAAACGGAAGTCGAAATGAAACGGTGTTGTTTTGCACAGCCCTAATATGGGCCCCATCTTTAAAAAAGGGAAGAGGGGAGGACCCAGGCAACTATAGGCCAGTTAGTCTTACTTCTGTCCTGGGAAAGCTCTTTGAAAAGATTATCAAGGAGCTCATCTGTGATGGGCCAGCAGCAGGGATGATGCTTAACAGCAACCAGCATTGTTTCATTAGGGGCAGGTCATGTCAGATCAACCTGATTGCCTTCTGTGATCAGGTCACAAAATCATTGGATGCAGGTGTCGCAGTGGATGTAGTCTTTGGACTTCAGCAAGGCCTTTGACACTGTCTCCCACCCCATTCTCTTTAAAAATCTAGGCGACTGTGGCATTGATGCCTACACAGTCAGATGGATTGCAAATTGGCTGAGGGGTCATACTCAGAAAGTGGTGGTGGACAGGTCATATTCAACCTGGAGGGAAGTGGGCAGTGGAGTCCCCCAGGTCTCGGTCCTTGGGCCCACCCTGTTCAATTTCTTTATTAGGGACTTGGACAATGGGGTGAAAAGCACCCTGTTTAAATTTGCAGACAACACCAAGAGTTAGGGTGAGGTGGGCATGCTAGAAGGGAAGGACAGATTACAGTGGGACCTGGACAGGTTACAGGGGTGGGCAATTGAAAATAGGATGGGATTCAATACTGAGAAGTGCAGGGTGCTGCACTTAGGCACTAGGAACCAGCAGTATACCTATAGGCTGGGGAACTCCCTTCTCAAAAGTATGGTGGCAGAAAGAGAACTTGGAGTCATCATTGACTCCAAGATGAACATGGGCCGCCAATGTGAGGACACAGTCAGTAGGGCTAACTGCACCTTGTCATGCATCCACAGATACATCTCAAGCAGGTCCAAGGAGGTGATCCTCCCCCTCTATGCGACACTGGTCAGGCCGCAGCTGGAGTACTGCATCCAGTTCTGGGCGCCGCACTTCAGGAGGGATGTAGACAACATTGAGAGGGTCCAGAGGAGGGCCACTCGCATGATCCGGGGACAGCAGGGCAGACCCTACGAGTGGAGGCTATGGGACTTTAACCTGTTCAGCCTTTACAAGAGAAGGCTGAGGTGGGACTTGGTGGCCGTCTATAAACTTACTGGGGGGGACCAGCAGGGATTGGGAGAGACCTTGTTCACCCGAGTGCCTCCTGGAGTAACAAGGAATAACGGCCATAAGTTGTTAGAGAGTAGGTTTAGACTAGACATCAGAAGGCACTACTTCACAGTCAGGGCGGCTAGGATCTAGAACCAACTTCCAAGGGAAATGGTGCTGGCTTCTACCTTGGGGGTCTTTAAGACCTAGCTTGGGTCATTTGAGCCCAGTTTTCTCTCCTGCCCAGGGTAGGGGGTCAGACTAAAAGATCTACAAGGTCCCTTCTGACCCTACATCTGTGAATCTATAATGGGGAGGTGTAGTCTTGAACACAGGATAGGAGAGTCAAGACCTCCTGGTTTCTGAGATTGTCTCTGTGGTCTGAGGAAAGAAAGTTAATCTCCGCACTTTAGTTTCCCCATCTGCAAATGGGATTTTGGTTCCTAGAAGGAGCAGCCAAGTGAGGTGCTCCCTAGTTTGCTTATATGTGATTTGAGTACCTGTGTTTCATCCTGCATTATGCAAGTCCTGCCTTTGCTTAATTCACTGAAATTGCTATGAGGAGCCAGCAGGACCCTAGGCAGTTTCAGTTGTGCTCTATACCATGTATACTTTTCCAAGTCAGTGTCTTGCTGTTAGATCGTACAAGGCTTACAAGCGTTAGAACAGAGTACTGTACCTTGGATGATGGGAAGAAGCCCCCTTGGTTTAAATGTCAGGCAGGTGAAATATAAAATATGCTTAAGAAACTCTAGTGCTATTGGTCATATATACAATGAAATCCTAACGTTCTTGTGGTTATTTTCTTACCCATTTTTTTTGTGCAACCCCATTTTTTATGGAGAGCTGTATAGGTCAGGTAGTGAGTAGAGGGATCTACCACACAGATTCATGTTTTATCCCAGGTTTTTAGTAAATGAAAGTTAACATAGGATGGATGTTGCCCTTAATGTAATGATTTATGGGTCTGTGTCTTGCCTCTGGCAGATGCTCACATGATAACAAACACCACTGCACTTCTTATTTACCTTCTCCATAATCTTAGCAAAAGACCAAGAATGTATTAGCTAAGGAAGAACTGCCTTGATACCTCTTAGAGCTGTTTTCTTATTTCAGATTTTGTAAGGCTATGACCACATATGGGGTCTTTTCTTTGCAGTGTTGGTGCTGTAACAGTACTGGAGCATAAGACACTGTCAGAGTCTAGGCCTGAGAGTCTGGTACTTTTTAAAAGCACTACTTTTACCAAGATACTGAAACTATCAAGCTTCCAGAGGGGTTGTTCCTAGGATCAAAACTGTTGACTTACATGGTCTCTTCTTTTTAAATGAGTTAATTAAACAGCAGCAAGTGGTATTGTTTATATCTAGTATAAAAACAACATAGGATTGTTCTGTTTTGCTAACAGGTTCATGCCAGAACACAAACTGGCCCATTTGGAGAAGATAACTGGCGTTAAAGGAAATGGAGATACTTATCGATTTAAGGGTCTGCCTCTCCAACAGAAGAATGAAGCTACTGGGGGTTTAATGAAAAACAGCAACTTGGGTCAGGGGTCTGGACTTTGTGAAGTACAGTCTGGACTTTGTACCACACAACAAGAAAGCCTACATAACCCATTAACAGCAGTGGAGAAATTGAACAAGTCTGAGGCATCAGAAAGTACAAATCCTTGTCAGGAGGAAGATAAGCAACATCTGACTTTTAACCCCTGTAATATTTTGAGTGGAATGGACTGTCAGCAAAGACCTTTACACATTGTCTGGCCTCACAGGTGGTAAGTGTTGTACAGATCAAAATACTATACCTTTAAATGATTTATGAACTGGATTTAATACTGTTCCTGTGACTTAAACAAGTATAAAGTTAATGTCATAGGCATACAACTGACTTGCCATGTATGCAAATGTGCAGCATCACGAACACCTAACTATTTAGAATAATTCTTTAGTAATATCTTTAGTAATGTAAACCAGAGATTTAAGCATTGATGTTAATGACTGCATTTCAGGGTCCAAGAGCCACTGAAATTTTGTAAGTATGATGTTAGCAACTGTACTGTAAGGTATTTTCATACTGCAATCCATTGATGACACTTGATGTGCAGCATTATTTAAATCATTTTAATTACTTTAATGTGGGTGATTATTTGACTGAACATCTTAACCACCTAAGCAATTCATTTTACTCTGAAATATACCTGTTCTGTGTTGAAAACAAATACATAAAAAACAGCATGTTAACAGCAAAGCAGTATTTTTATAAATGCTAACACAAATACCTGATAACAAAAGCTTCTCTCAACAAGGGAAATCTACCCCCACC